TCATAAAAATTTTTAGATGTCGACAAAACTTTATTTTTATTTAAAGACATTAAAAATTTTTTTAGAATTTTATAATAATTAAATTGTTGTGAAAAAAATTTTTTAAAATTCCATTTGTTGAAATTAAAGAAAATTTTTAGAAGCACTTTTAATATTGTAATTCATTTAATATAAGAATTTTAAAAAATTGACAGGTCAGCTGACTTCAATATTATTAATATTTAGTAAATTTTTAAAATAAAAATTTTACTCACCAAATTTCACTTTATTAAGATTTTTTTTTTATTTTTAAACTTCCCGCGAAAATTAAAATTAAAAATAATTAAGCACTTTGTTTCTTTAATTATTATTGTTTCAGAAAATACTGGGCAGTAATCACGGTTGAAGAGTTAAAAATATGATTATTATTATTTTATTAATGCACGGATTTAAAGAGAATAATTTATAAAAACTAGTCCCGGATTTATTTATTTATTTATTATTAAAGAACAATGTAAAAACAGCACAAGCCACACAAGCTCACAGACCACGACAAGACGCGAAAACTTTTCGAACACGAATGACCTGACGACGGCGCGAACATGCGCAGTAGGGTAACTTGTTCCCTCCAAAAATTATTGCACTTTTTTTTAGGAATAAAAAATTTTATGACACTGAAATTGACATCTAACAATTTTTTTTTATTTTAATAATAAAATTTAAAAAAATTACGTGTAAATTTTGAAAATATTTTTTTATGATATTAAAGTTAGCTGTCAATTCACCATTTTTTAATTTTATTTAACAAAAAGTATTATTGCAAAAAATTATTTAAAAAAAATTGCATTTTTAATTTATTAAAATTTCTAAGTGTCCATTTTTTCCAATTTTTTATGCAGTAATTTATTTATTAAAAAAATTATAAAATATCTGCTTAATTTTCAATGAAAATTAATTTAGCAGATATTTGATAATTTTAAATATTTTATAGCAAATAAATTATGGCAAAAAGAAATTATTTTCAATGAAAATTAATTTAGCAGATATTTGATAATTTTAAATATTTTATAGCAAATAAATTATGGCAAAAAGAAATTATAAAAAAAATTGACATTGAGAAATTTTAAAAAGTAAAAAATGTAATTTTTTTAAAATAATTTTTTGGAACAAATTTTTTTGATAAATAAAATTGAAAAATTGTTAAGTGACTGCTAACTTTAATGTCATTAATTTTTATTATTTTTTTTTTTATAATTTAATTGTAGCAAAAACAAAAAAAAAAGATGTCGGCTATTTTCAGTGTCATAAAAATTTTTTTCATATTATTTTAATAAAATAGAGTTCACTTTTCACAATAATAATTACACTCACTTTACAAATTATAAAAATTTAACCCCATTATATGCGCAAAAATTTTTCTTTCTTTAATTTCCGCCATTTTTATTTAATAATTTGATTTTAAATATTTAATTGTTGATTATTATTATTAAAATAATACTCTGAACTGTTAGCTGTCAAAAATACTATTTAATAAAAATTAATAAAATTAATTTGATGATTTTTTGACAGCTACTTACAGTCAAACTTTTTGACAGTTAGAAAATTTACAAAATACAAAATGGACTCCTAGTAACAGTTACCGGCGCAAGGGGGAAGGAAAAAACTTTTGGCGGGAAAATTTTAAAATTTTAATTTTTAAAAGGTTAAAAAATAAAATAAACAATAATTAAAATGTCTTTTTTTTGCAATATATATTTATCACGGTAACATTGGTACATAATTATATTTATTATCAATAATTAATAATTAATATTAATTTATTAATGATTAATCTATGTAACTTGTACATAATAAATCCTGTCTCCAAATACTGTTTTATATTTTTTATCTATCACACTTAAATTATTACATTTTTTTATTTATTTTATTAATTAATAATTTTTCACTTAACAAATAAATTAACGATAAAATTAATTTTAAATAAAAATTATATCTTAAGCCAAAAGAAAATTTTTCTTAAAAATTTAAGTATTAACGAATTAATAAGCAATTATTGTATTATTGTCAATGAATCTTAATTATTACTAATAATTACATTTACTTAAAATAAAAAATTAATTACAAATTATCAATGAATAATCAGAAACGTTAAAGGTACTGAAGATATGTCTAAAGTAGAAGCAACAATAGATTGTACTTATTAATTATTTCTTACATAATATTTTTCTTATAAGGTAAAAGCCCCAATTATTGACAGGGGTCTAAATATTGACACCCTAAATAATTTTAAAATATATTTAATCATCTGTAATAAGAATAACTATCATGTAAATTTTTATTAAATTCTAATTAATTAAAAAATTGAAAAAAATTACTGTCAGTTAATATTAAATATTAATTATTAAAAAATAAAGTTACCACCAGTTAAAACCAGTTTATTTTCTTAACAACTTTGATTAGAAAAGCATTTTTTTTAAATGCCGAGTTCAAATTCATTTCTTCGTCTAATAATATCATCTTTTTTTTTTTTTAATTAACAATATATGAAAAATTTATAAAATTGAGTAATCGAAATTAATTGTATGCTTTATAATATTTAAATAATGGCTGTCAATAACTAGTTGATAATTTTTAAGTTGAATCTCATATTGACAGCCAATCGACAGCGCTATCACGCCTTTTTTAGACTTTAATCTAAAAAATTAACTGTAAGAGTTTGAACTCTTCTGATTAAATAAATTATTTTAAAAGTAATTAATCATTTATGGAAATTATTATTAATAAAATTTAATAAAATTGATTACTTAATAATAAATTTCGATAAATAAGAATAAGC